AAAATCAGAGTAGAGGAACTTCCTCGAACGTTGACCCCGGCGACGGCGACAGCAGCAACGTCGGTCCGTCGGCGCCTATCGCTGCGACGACGGCATCAGGTGACGACAAATCAACGAATTTTATATGATTTGCCTCTGTCACCAAAGCGATCATACGGGCAACAAACACACGCACTTACACACACACACACACACAATAACTTACACATTGACAAAGCAAAAACTAGCAACAGCGCCAGTTCTCATCGTAGTTAACAGCTGCAATTCGTACGGATCGACGAGATGCAGTTAATTCAACTTGCGAAATATCGATGATGCGATAGAAATAAGCATTTTCAAGTAAGCGGTGCCTAGAACGCTTTCATGACCACAGTATAATACTCGTCTGTTGTTCAGGAGGTAGCGACAACCTTGCTGGTGCGATAGCTACCTAGTATCCGAAAGCTAAATCCAAAGACCCAATGAGACAAGACGAAATAAAAACATACGTACAAAAGACAAACCATGGCTATTCGAATTGGAACAAGTGTGAGATGACATTTCAGAGTGTCTCTCTGTCGAAATATAGTTTCCTTTACTTTGTTTAACTGTACATGATTATTTCGTAATTTAAAAAAAAAAAAAGAAAGTACAAGTGATAAGGGCATAGCATTGAAAATTACTTTCATGTGTTGCTATCAAGCGTTCTACTTCATCCCATATTCAGCGAACTCCTCAGCTTTCCCGCGTATGTTTACAAACAGTTACTTCAATTTTGCAAATAATGCGCGGGTCGTACGTCGATATATGGGCAACAACCATTAGCTACTACGGACGTTGAATCGCATGATTTTATTTATATGGACCGTGTGATCGGGAGAATTCTAATGATCACTTCGGTAAAAAGCTGGCAACGATCACCGAAAATACTAAACAAGGCATATAATTACTGGCCGAACAACTATCGTTTACGTTCGATATATGAAAAGTCGGTATAAATTTGAAAAACTACTATGGCGGAGTCATCTGCTTGACGGTTGGCACTCCAACGTTTGATTACGTAGTGAAATTACGGCTCAGTAGAACTTTCATTGTTCTCTTGAATTAAAACGACGTCAGACCGAGTTCTGGCTATGATTTTTCCTTCCTTCCTTCCTTCCTTCTAAACTGAACGAGGGACTACAGTGTTGTTTTTGATGATTTGATCGCTTGTTCGTTATATCGCTAGTAGACATTAGCGCACACCGAAGCGATATTGTCAAAGTCGGACCAAACAACGCAGAACCGAACGATAACGTCAGCAATATCTAGTCCAAGGTATCTTGAAATCTGAAGGGTACTTGTCTTATATCTGGTAGACTAGCAGGAGATACGCAAATGATTCCAATAAACTATGCACACGTTTATAACAGTGACGCCACCAATGTCATTTCTATAATACCGTAACATTAGAATACTCGTAGCTCTAACAATGGCCATAATGGTTATTTAAATTATCTCGTTAATTAATGTCACAATATCCTATATAGCAGGACGCCTTTGTTACAAGTATGAAATAAGGAATGGCGAAGAAGTATCAATTGCGTAACATTTCCTTCCACCGAAGATGCTCATTACGGTCGACTATTGATTCACGAACTCAATCGCGGCTCTGAAATTTTATATTTTTATGGCGCATATTTTATCAGCTAACGTACCCCACAAAAAAAGCCTATTTGTGTCTATTGTAATATAGTGTTCTATATTACCATCTTTATCAAGTCCTCCCGAATGTGTAATGAGACAGATTACTGAAGTAAATTCAAATAGATGGCGCCACTCACTGTACCGTCAAAAAATAATAAAAAAAAATAAATAAAAAATCTATCTAGTATCTATCTATGTATCTAATATCTATCTATCTATCTAGTATCTATCTATGCATCTAATATCTATCTATGTATCTAATATCTATCTATCTATCTAGTATCTATCTATGTATCTAATATCTATCTATGTATCTATCCATGTATCTACCTATCTATCTATCTATCTATCTATGTATCTATCCATGTATCTATCTATCTATGTATCTAATATCTATCCATGTATCTATCTATGTATCTAATATCTATCCATGTATCTATCTATCTATTTATCTATGTATCTAATATCTATCCATGTGTCTATCTATCTATTTATCTATGTATCTAATATCTATCCATGTATCTATCTATCTATTTATCCATGTATCTAA